GCTGCCCTCACTGAAACTAGGCACAAATCAGTATTGATTGGGTCGCTACGGAAGACCTCCCTTGCTCAAGCGTAGACCTCTGTCCCTGCAGGGCTCCTGCCTACCTTGCGGACCTTGGCAGTGCTCCTCCCTATATCCCAGCCGTGCTGATAGCAATGCAGAGTCAAGGCACAGTTTCCGGCAAGTCGGGCATACAAGCTTTTTAGACACACCGGACAAGATGGGGTATGCTCATTGCGCCCGCCGAACATCTACCGTCAAGTCCAGCTCTCCTTCCCTCCTGCTATTTGCGCGATCCACCCGCTCCTGAGCAAAGTGGACAATCTCCAGCATTTCCGGATCCAAGACCTGTTGACGGGCCTTCACGGCGAGAGTGACGACCGTTCGCTGCAGTCCACCAGCACTATCGGCAGCTTCCGTCGCGCAGAGCTGCCAGATATGCGGTTCAGAAACAGAGACAACCGTCGGTAGCGCCTCAACCTGCGGCCCAAAGAGTCAGCGAGGCGGAAAATCGCGAGGAGGCCGCAACGCACATCCCGGACGATGCTCGCAATTTGACGAGCATGCTCGCTGGACAAGCTTGAGGATGTCTGAAGCAGAGCCTGACCGGTCGAGGTCGCGGCTGGCTGGGCGATGTAGAAGATGGCGACCGACTCGAGAAGGGCGAGTACCTTGTCAAACGGCGCCAGCTGCGCGCTGACGATAGCCGCAATACGCGGTCAGCTTTGCAGCGTAAGGATTTGCACAGAGACGTACGGAGGAAGCACAGCTGCGGAGCCGAGCAGCGCTATTGCAAAGAGGAGAGTGGTCATGCTGAAGGGATTCAGCGCCTGCTGCAAGGCGGATGGCCGATCCGACCTGGTTGTGCGCCTCGGCGACGACAAGATACCGGGACGAACTGCTGCGGCCAGACCGCTATGATTCCGCGCGAGGACGGCGAGCGCGACAGCGAGGAGAGCGGCGGCGGTCAAGGCGGCGCGAGGGAGCGAGATCCTGTCAGACGACGCGACGCCGTCAGCCAAGCGAAGAGCCCATAGCGGAAAGACCTCGAGACTCACCCAGCACCGTGCGGATCACTGAGTGTCGCCAAGCCTTCGCCGTGGCCAACGCCACCGTGCCCCGCAGCATGCGCTCCGTCGGCCTCCTCCGGTCCATGCAACAGCAGGACATGCTCCACTGACTCCTTACAGACGTAAACTGCCGAGAACAGCAGGTATACGGCCTGCGCAAAGTGTGACAGCGTGAGGTAGCGAGTCGAGCTGGACGATGGAACACGGATTAACGTCGCACGAGGAACGAGAGAACAAGATCTCGCGCACCCGTACGGTCGCCGCACCGAGTTGTTCCGCTGCGATCCCAGCGCCTGCGTGATTGCCTCGAGTCCTCCGTCCCTCTCCAGAAGGACAGTCGAGACGGCACCGATGCCGTCGAAGACGACGAGATAGCCCAGGCCTGTCGATGCCAAGCTCTCGCCCGCCTGCCCTTGTACCCACAACGCGGCACCAGCGACGATTTGCGCGGCTGCCAGAAGCAATAGCGCGCGAGTCCCCAGCGGGACGTGGAACGAGGTGTAGAGGAAGAGTCGGAGAACGAGCGGTAGACGGCCGTATCGCTGGCGGAAAGTGGCGGTAGGTGCAGGAAGCTGATCTTCGATGCCCTTCTGCGATGTTCGTGTCGTAGTAGGGGACGGCAAGCGCTCTGCCGGGCTGGAGGTGAAGAGGTCGTGGGAGACCGAATGACGGTGGTGATGCCCTCGCCGATTCTGCGCCTTCGTCGGCGTCTCACCTGCCGATCTTCCGACGTTGTTGGAGGCTAGCGCAGACGGAGACGGCGTGTCGGCAACTCCAGGCTGGAACGGCTTCGCGAAAGGGTCGTCGAAGGTCCCGCCGTACCCCTCGGCCGTCTGTCCCGGGTGAGGAAAGAAGGCGCTAAGGTTACGCGCATGGATTCGCGAGTGCTGCCGCGCGTGTCCCTGGTTCGGCGCCGTGGACGAGGATCCGAGCGAGGTCGAGGCGGAAGCGCTGTGCGGGCCCTCGTCCTCCTCCTCCAGGGCCTCGAGGCGGTACATGACGTAGCTGGTGCCGCGTTCGAGCTCGCCTTTGTCCTACGTGCACGGTTCAGGAGGGGCGAGAATGAGCGGGTCGAAGGCGCACGAGGTGGGTTGTGGGGAGTCGACGAGAAGGGCGAGGGCGGCCCAGTAGAATGCGTCTGGCGATCGCGCCTGACTGCTCCGGACTACAGAGGAGCGTTTCGAAGCCCTTCAACTCAGCAGACGACTCGGTAAAGAGGCGGGGAGGCCAACCTGCGACGGCGCGACTTCATCGCTTCATCGCTTCGTTGTCCTCGATCCGTCAAGTCATGCCAACGACACCGCCTGCCGAGGAGCGAGAGCTGACGCCCGATCTGCCAGAGCAAGGCGCAACAGAGCTGGCTGCCCAGGAACGCTCGGCGGATGCGAGTCCCTCGCCTGCGGGCGAAGCAGCGGACGACTCTCGCGAGGAAGCGGAGGGGGACGAGAAGCAGCCCGACGCTGCAGAGTCGGCCGAGCAGGACGAGGAATCTCGGAAGGACGCATGGCAGGCAGTTTGGAGCGCCGAGTGCGTACCAGAATTCTCCTTCACCGGGACGGCTGACCTTGACCGGCGTCACTCGCAGAGCGAATGCTTGGTACTTTTGGAGTGCGTTGTGTGGACAGTCTTCTGTATGTCACTAGCTGATGTCTACCTGCAGACGCCGAAACGAACGAGACGACCTGGCAGAACCCCCGAGACCACTCCGCCGCTTCTGCTGTCGCCTCATCCTCCAACACCTCTCCTGCGCCCGCCGAGGCCGATGCTACGAATACAACAGCGGCTGAAGAACCCGACCGCTTACCAGGGATCGACCCCGAACTCGCCTGGTTAGACCCTACGGCTGCACGGGCTTCGTCAAGCGGCGGACTCGCCCAAGCCGCGCGCTTCAACGCAAGAACAGGTCGTTTCATGGTGCGTTGCCGCTTTCTACTAGATGGCCGATGATTAGACTGAGTGAGCCTATCTGTTGCAGGCGGATCCTGCGCTGAACCCCGACCGCATCAGTGATTATCAGCGAGGGAGACGCCAGCAAGAGGCGTACTACGATGGTACGCTTGACTCATTGCGTCGCCCCGGTTCTGTCGGTTGCTCACTGCTTGTTGTCACTCCTCGCATCGCAGTTGCCGGCTGGGAAGCCAGTCTCGCCTCTCGACCGCCGAAGCGGCAACACGAAGACGCGGAGGACGAGGACGGCAAGAAGAAGCGGCCGTCAGCGAAGCAAGTTGAGAAGTTTCGGCAGGCGAAAGAGGTGCGTTAGAACCGTGCTTGCGCGGGACATATCGAGGCTGACGTTCGTTTCGTCGCTCGCAGGAAAAGAAGCGGAAGAAGCTTGCGTTGTGGCTAGGCTCATAGCAGTAGTCCCGCGGAGGCTTTGAGCGGTACGGTAATTACAACATTCCAGATGCTCGAGACAGCGAGACAGCGAGAACAAAACAATCTCAGGACGTCTCCCACTCGCCGCCGGACGCCAGAGTCGCAAAGACACCTCGAGGCTTTGCGCGCAGCTCGGCGACGGTGCCGCTGCATTCGAGTTTTGCGGTCAGCGATAGGTCGAGCAAGGAAGCTTGCGGGGGAGGAAACGCACGTCTCAGCGACAGTCCCGTCCGTGAGCACGATGAGCCGATCGCACTTCTCCATGATGGCGAGCTTGTGCGTGACGATGAGGGTTGTGCGACCCGCCTTGATGCGCAGGATGGTGTCGAGCACGGCCTGCTGGTTCGCGGGGTCCAGAGCCGAGGTGCACTCGTCGAGGATGAGAATCTCTCGCGACTGCACGAGAGCGCGAGCGATCTGGAGGCGCTGCGCTTGACCGCCGGAGATGAGCGACGCGTTGTCGCCGAGGGGCGTGTCGTAGCCTTGCGGAAGCTCGGTGATGAAATCGTGAATGTGCGCCGCCTTCGCTGCGCGCTCGATCTCGTCCTGGGTGACGTGCAACCGGCCGTATGCAATGTTCTGCGCGACCGACATGTCGAAGAGGGCCGGGTGCTGCGAGACCACCGCGACGTGATCACGGAGGTACCGGACGTCGACGCGATCGAGAGGGCGACCGTCGAGCAAGACCGAACCGTCGGAAGGCTCGTAGAGACGCTGCAGGAGCGCCGCAACGGTAGACTTGCCAGAGCCCGATGGACTGCGGCGGAAAGCGGGCGAGCTTGTGTAAGCGGCTCAGGGGAAAGCAGGAGGCCGACGCACCCAACGATGCCCACGCACTCGCCAGGCTGTACCTGGAAGTCGAGACCTCGAAGGATCGGAACATCGGGTCGTGAAGGGTAGGCGAACCGCACATCGGCGAACGAGACGTGCCCGTGTATCGGGAACGTCATGCGGCCTTCCGACTCTCTTGTCTCGGGCTTGAGGTCGAGGAGGCGAAGCAAATCGTTTGCCGCGCGCAAAGACTTGGCCATCGCAGGGACTGGACGAGGCGAACGTCAGCGAGGGGCGCGATCGTAGCCAGCGGCCCGACTTACGATAGTTCATAAGCGAGCCAGCGAACGTGATCGTAAAGATGATGAGGGTGAAGACCTGGAGCATCTTGCTGAACGTGTATCGACCGCTCACGATGAGCAAGGCGCCGACATAGAGCATCAGGCCTGCAAGTCAACAGGTTAGCGCGGAGCTTGCCAACAACGGAAGCACGGCCACCACGCACCTTGCGAGAGGTAAGTGAGCGTGAAGGTACTGGCGAATCCGAAGCCGGCGAACGGAGCAGCCTTGATCCCGCTCGAGTACGCCGAATCGGCCGTCGACTCGAAAGTGCGGGTGAAGACAGGCTGAATCGACATGCTGCGGATAGCGCGGACGTTCGCCAGGGTCTGCGCGCATGCTGCATCAGCGAGTTCGTCGGTATATGCTGGAAGGAACCTCCAGCGCACCTGATGAAAGCGCTTCGAAACCTCTTCGCGCTTCAGCTTGTTGACGCCCTCGAGCTTGTTGAGCACGGCGGCTTGGAGGCGAGTGATGACGATGATGACGGGAGCAATGCCGAAGCCAACGAGAGTGAGCTCCCACCCGGTCACGAACGACCAGACGATGCCGAGGGTGAGCATCGAGACGAGGACGCAGCACTGTCCGACGACTGTTCCGACCAGGATTCGAGTGTCCTCCGAGTCCTTGACGACAGAGTGCGACAGCGCGCTCGTCGCATTCTCGGGACGATCGAAGAAGGACTTGTCCTGTTTGAGGACGAGGCCGAATGCTCGGCGCCGAAGCGCGCTGATCCACCCCATCGCGCAGCGCTCGAGACAGTAGAACTTGAGGAACGAGCCACTGCCGTCGATGAAGGCGACGAGGAGGATGAGAAGCGCTGATTGCGTGATGAGCGAGTTGGCGTTCGGATTGCCCAAGTTGCTGATGACCTTCGAAAGGAGCGTCGACGAGATTGGCGTGCACGCGCCAACGACCATCGAGAACACGACGCCGCAGCTGAAGAGCAGCTTGTTGGGGATTGTCGGCCAGTATCGCCGCGCGAGCTGGAAGAGCGACAGTGTCGGAGCGCGAGAGGTCGCCCCGCCAGCCATGTCGACGATCGCATCCGCACTGGTCGGACCTGTGCGACCGGCCCACTTCTGCAAGTCCGCCTCGGTCATCGTGCGATGCTTGATCCGCGGTCCGAGAGGTTTGCGACTCGACATTGCTGCCGCCGATACGAGTTCGAGTGCGCTCAACGACAGGTCGGAGTCGGCGCGACTGACGGGTCGCGAAGCGCGGCGGCTGCCCTCCATCGGGTCGAACGGGGGAAGCAGATCGGTCGCAGAGAACCGCTTCGACGCCGGGCGGGACGGCGAGGGAGAGGAAGAACGGCTGATCGCACTTTGGAAGTTTGCCGAAACCCGCCGTGCATCGCGTAGATCTTGACTTGCGCGGAAGACATCGCCTGCAGGCGGGAAGAAGAGGCTGGGCGACGAGTAACGAACCGAACCCACGTCTTCGGCATCCGCATCGCTGATCTGGATCCGAGGCGTGGAATGTGCCGACCCGTACACTTCGCCCAGAGTGCGAGGCGTCGCATGAATGTCCTCGAGGTCGAGCACTTCCTCCTCGTCGTCGACAACGTCGACAGTCGAAGCACCTTGTTGCGAGTTTGCGAGTCTGGCGAAGTGACCTGATCGGTCCGCCTCGAGATCGCTGCGGAAGCCTTGTTCGACGACGGACCCGTCGACCATGACGTAGACAAAGTCGTCGGGACCGATGGGCGCAAGGTCGTGGGTGATGACGATGGTCGTCCGGTTGTCTCGCCAGCGCTTGACCGCCTCGTTCACGAGCAGGCGGGAGGTCGCGTCCAGCGCCGACGTCGCTTCGTCTGCGCGGCACTGTTCGTCAGTACCACTCAGACCGAAGGTCAAAGACGGATGATGAATCGTACGCACCGAGGATGAGGACCGTCGGGTCCCGGATCCAAGCACGAGCAATGGCGAGGCGCTGGCGCTGGCCGCCCGACAAGCTTGCGCCTTTCTCGCCGCTGATCCAGGTGTCGTAGCCGTCAGGAAGATCGCGAATGAAGTCGTGGATGAGAGCACCGCGACAGGCTGCGACGACTTCTTCCCTCGTCACGTCCTCCTGACGTCGCTTCGTCCCGTCCTCCTGCAGCTGGCCGACGACTCCGACCGCAACGTTGTCGTGAATGGTGCCGTCGAAGAGAACAGAGGCGCCTTGCGAGAGACAGGCGACGTGTCCTCGCAGCCAGTCCTCGTCGATCCACTCGAGCCCTTGCTCGTCCACCTCGATACGGCCTGACTCCGGGCGATACAGCGCCATGAGCAGCGAACCAACCGTACTCTTGCCCGAGCCGGATGTGCCGACGACGTAGGTGGTTTCTCGGGCGGCAAAGTACAAGCTGACGTCCTTGAGAGCGGGCGGAGCGGGCGCAGGTCGAGTCGGATAGTGAAAGGTGACGTTGCGCAAGCTGAGCTCGCCAGAGAAGGTCGCAGGGCAGAGCTTCCTGAGAGCACGAGGAGCGCCGGTACGGCGAGCTCCAGTCGCACCCGCAAGCGGAATGAGGACGGGCGTGTGAGGCGTAGTCGGCGAGGCGACGGCGTTGAAGGGATGGGGCGACAGGTCGTCCTTGGCCTCAACCTTCTCATCACTCGCGAAAGCAGACGCCTCGGTCAACGTGCCGAAGCTGCTGCCTTTACGGTGATGCGCCTTGCGCCGCCTGCCGAAAGTGCCGGCAGATGACGGCGGCGGAGAGCGCGAAGTCGTCGCGTTCGTGGCGGGCGGCTCATCGCGAATCAAGGTGAGGAGGCCGGCCATGGCGATTTTGCCCTTCTCGAGGGTGACGAGGAACGGGATGCAGGTCTGGAGATACGTGCTGCCGAGCAGGCACGCCCAGAAGCAAGTATTGACCGAAGCCGCCGTCGCCTTGCCGGTCTGAATGAGATATGCGCCGAACCAGAAGCCCTGGACGAACATCGACATGAGGAGGAATTGGACAACGCCGCTGCGCAAGCCCCAGACGAAGTGAAGCTTGACGTAGGCCACGAAGTCCTTCTTCGTGAGCTCTTTGAAGCCCTTGAGCTCCTCCTCCTCGGCGTTGAACGCTTTGACGGTCGAAATCGCGCCGATCACGCGGTCGACGCGGGACGAACACTGCGTCGTCGCCTCGCGCACTTGATTGGCGAGCGGTCCCGAGAAACGCTCGGTAAGGCCGACGAAGAAGGTGACGACAGGGATGGTGGCGAGGACGACGAACGACAGTCGCCAATTGCGGTAGAAGGCGAGGATGATGCAGAAGATGAAGGAGGAGAGGTACTGGATGATGAGGCCGATTGTTGACGAAGCGCCCATGCGGACATCATCTGTGTCTCTGCGGTTCGGAAGCAGAGTCAGCGCGAGTCTTGCAAGGACGCAAGGGAAAAACGTACTTGGTGAAGCGTCCCATAAGTCCCGCAGCATCCGCCTTGCCCGCCTCTCCACCTTCGGCTCCGCCATCCGCTGCGCCACCCATCCCGCGGTCGTACCACTCGAGGCTTTTCTCGCTGACGCCGCGGTAGACCTTCAGGCGGAGCTCGTGCGCCGCGCGCTCGCCGTGGATCGTCCACAGCGCGACGTTCGTGGACGAGAAGAAGAAAACGACGGCGGCGATGACGGCAAACTTGATCGCCTTGTTGCGGATAGCGCTCAGGAGCTCTGACCGTGCGGCCTTGAGCGCTTCGTGCGAGAGATCGGGTGCGGCTGTAGCGAGGCCAAAGTCGGTGTACGCTTGAAGGGCGTCGCCGAGGATCTGGGTCATGTACGGCGGGACCAGACCCGCGACAATGGCGCAGACGATGCCGGGGACGACAATGGTAAAGAAGGTCTGGCGAGTCGTGAGGGAGAAGAGGAGGCCGAGCGAAGGTTGAACGGAGGGCGGCTTGGAGGGTGCGGAGGGCTTCGCGTCAGACGCAGAGGAGGCGACGGAGTACCGCAGGTCAGGGAGGTTTGCCGTATCGCGGGAAAGGTCGAGGGGCGCCGGTCGAGGTGTGCCTCGCGCACCGAACGGCTTGACAGCCTCTCCCTCTTCTCCAACTGTCCAGCGTATCGGCTCCTTCACATCGCCTGCTCCGCCGCCCGACATGATGTGCAGCGTCTCCGTCGAGGCTGCCGGCTGCATAGGGACCGAGACGGCATCGTCGTCCGGGAAGAGCTGTCTCGGGGTAGCACTGTAAGACGGCGGCGGCCGGGCTGGCGAAGACGATGGCGATACGGATGCGTCGAATGATGCTTGGCCAAGTCGTGGCGACCTGTAGGCTAGCGAATCGACTCGTGGCGGCGATGGACGAAGGGAGGGCGACGTTGCGGAAGACAGGCGGTTTCGAGGGCGAGTCGAAGGTGCAGACGGTGGGTAGCTCATGTCGCGGTCTCGTGCGCGTGCCCAGTGTCAGCAGTCGACGCAAGTGAGCTGTAGGAGCGAGTAGCATGCTCGGTGGCTGGCCTTCGAACAGCCCGGCTGCCGCGAGCGAAACAAAGGGCTCGAGACACCCGAACAAAGGGCGGCGACGAAGAAAGGGAGCTGGACGGCCGGCATCTGCAGCTGGTCTGGCGCTGTACGAAGCCTCTTCAGAAGCCTCCCTGCGTCCTCACAGCCTCGCTCGAACAGCGGCAAGTCTGGTTCGCTTCATCGACTCGACGAGGTCCGGGCGGAGATTGGAAGGATGCTTGATGGAGCGTGTCGAGGAGCCGTGTCGGTGCAACTGAGCAGCGAGTCAGCCAGCAGGGAGCATGCCTGTGCCAGCGGGCGAGTAGACGGCGAGCCAACCTGAGAGCGCGACGAGGACGAAGTTGGCCAACTTGCATGCTCCGTGACTCGTTCTTGCGCTCAGCCAGCTCAGTCAGACTAGTTACCGTAGCTCAGTGCACGTCTCCACGCACCCTCCGACTGCCCCGCGCCGCCGTCCTCCCGCCTCCCTCGACCATCCCTCGCTCACTGCGATCGTCCTTCTCGACCTCGGCCCCAACCCAAGAAGCCAGCGAGCACGCAGGAAAGATGCAGGACTCGTGGAGGATTCCTCAACCGAGCGCACCGGAGCCGAAGCTCAAGGTGTACAACTCGCTTACTCGTTCGAAGGCGCGTCTTCTCTCTTCGAGTCTGGCGAACGGCCCGCTGACGCCAACCCGGGTCTCTTTGCACAGGTAGACTTCGTGACCAAGAAGCCCGGGATCGTAACGTGGTACAATTGCGGCCCGACAGTGTACGACGCCTCGCACATGGGTCATGCCAGGTCCGCTCGCTTCGCCTTTCCCTTCCAGTATGCCGCACAGACTGCTGATCGTCATCTTTCGCAGGAACTACATGGCTCAGGACATCATGCGGAGGATCCTGCGCGATTACTTCGGCTACGAGGTCAACTTCGTCATGAACATCACGGACGTTGACGACAAGGTACGCTTCTACGGCTTCTGCTCGCCTGTCTCTTCACTGAACTCGTCTGTCGCACAGATTATCATCCGGGCTCGTCAGTCGCACCTCCTCAAGAAATACCTCGCCGAGCTCGCCTCCTCGTCGACCCCGCTCTCCTCGCGCGTCTTGCAGGAGGTGTCGACCGCATGGACCGCCTACTTCGCCAAGGCCTTCGCCGCGTCTCTACCTTCTCCTGTTGCTGGCGAAGACTTTGCGGCCGCCGAGGCCGGTTGGGCCCAGGTCCAGGGCCTCGCGAAGGACGCCAAGTGGGTCGAGGCGCAGAAGACGGCCAACGAGAAGTTCCCGATGTACTTTGCGGCTGTCGAGGCGGGATATGTGGCCCTGAAGCAGGCGCAGAAGCAGGAAGCGGCGGGTTCCACGAGTTTGACAGATGCTGAAGCGCTCGTCGAGGCGAACAAGGACGCTGTTGGTCTCTGGCTCGACAAGCAGGTGCGTCGGCGTGCTGTGTACGCGCAGAGTCGACCGCTGACCCTAACTGCCACAGTTCGGCGCGAGCGTGACGGACCCGGCTGTCTTCCGCGACCTGGCGGCGTACTGGGAAGACTCGTACTTCAAGTCGATGGCTGCGCTGCACGTCGAACGGCCGACCACGTTGACACGAGTGAGCGAGTACATCCCCGAAATCGTCACGTTTGTCGAAGGCATCGTAAAGCGAGGCTTTGCGTACGAGGGCGGCGGTAGCGTCTGGTTCGACACGGTGAAGTTCGAAGGCGCGAAGGGCGAGGGCGAAGGCGACGACGAGTGGCGGCACACGTACGCTAAGCTGCAGCCGTGGAGCAAGGGCAATCGGGAACTCCTCGAAGACGGAGAAGGTATGTCGTCTTCGCCGACTCGCGGACGACGCGACCTGATCCGCGTCTCTCCACAGGCTCGCTCACCAGCACGACCGGCAAGCGCTCGGCGGCAGACTTTGCGCTCTGGAAGTCGTCCAAGCCAGGCGAGCCGGCATGGCCATCGCCTTGGGGTCCCGGTCGGCCAGGCTGGCACATTGAATGCAGCGTCATGGCCAGCGCGGTGCTCGGCGAGGGCATGGATGTGCATTCAGGAGGTGTCGACCTGGCATTCCCCCATCACGACAACGAGATCGCCCAAAGCGAGGTGCGTCCGCTCGCGTGCGTACTCGACGAGCCTTGCACTGACGGTTGCTGCCGCAGGCCTTCCACAACTGCCGGCAATGGGTCAACTACTTCCTCCACACGGGCCACCTGCACATCGAGGGCCTCAAGATGTCGAAATCGCTCAAGAACTTCATCACGATCGACGACGCCCTCGAGAAGCACACTGCGCGGCAGCTCCGCTTCGCGTTCTTGATGCAGAACTGGAACGCTCGGCTCGACTTCAAGGAGTCGTCTATGCAGGAGGTCAAGAGCGCTGAGACGGTGCTGAATGTGCGTCTCTTCCGGATTGAATCGCAACTTGCCGTGCTGATACCGCTGGCTCTCGCAGAACTTCTTTACCAACGTCAAAGCTCTCGCGACTGAGGCAAAGGAGCGCAGTGTCGCCTCCGACGGACACCACCACTATGAGCAGGCGGAGAAGGACCTTCTTGCCCAGTACGTCGGGCTTTTGACTCTGACGCCACTCATTGCTAACCCTTTCCCCGCCTCGCAGACTCGAGCAAGCCCAGCTCGCCTTCCGTACCGCCCTCTGCGACTCGTTCGACACCCCCACCGCCCTTCAGATCCTCCTCGACATCGTCTCGAAGACCAACATCTACCTCGCCCGCGGTCGAAGACAGGTCAACTTCGCCGTCATTCTCGCCGTCTCGGATTGGGTCACGCGGATGTTGCGGATGTTTGGGCTCGGCGAGGGCTCCCCTGTGGACGGGAACGGCGACAAGGTTATCGGGTGGGGAGTTGCAGCCGCGAAGGGCGACCAGCAGAGCATCGACGTACGTGTATACTGCAGAACCCCCTCGCGTCCGGCACCGACACTGACGCTGTCACTACGCAGCGTGAGAGCATCCTCATGCCGTACCTTCGGGCGCTATCCGGCTTCCGCGACCAGGTTCGACAACTCGCCATGTCCGGCGCCGCCTCGTCCGACATCCTCGCCTTGACCGACAAGTTGCGCGATCACGACCTTGTCGACCTTGGCGTCGCGCTCGACGATCAGGAAGGTGAGCAGCTGCGATTTGCTCGCACAGTCGCAAGGAATCCGCGCTGACACGTACTCGCACGCAGACGGTCGTGCGATGGTCAAGCTCGTCCCGCCTGAGATTCTGCGCGAAGCACGCGACGCGAAGGCTGCAGCCGTCCGAGAAAAGGCGGCCAAGATGGCTGCCGCTGCGGCAGCCGCCGAAGCGAAGCGTCTCGAGCGCTTGGAGAAGGGTCGCATGCCGCCGACGGAGATGTTCCGCTCGAACACGGCCGAGTACTCGGCTTGGGACGAGCAAGGTCTGCCGACCAAGGACAAGGACGGCAACGAGCTGCCCAAGTCGCGCGGGAAGAAGCTCAAGAAAGAATGGGACATGCAGAAGAAGTGCGTTCCTGTCCGCAGCGACTGGTTGTGCTCGCCTGAACTGACCATCTGACCACAGGCTGCACGACGAGTTCCTGAAGGAGCAGGAGAAGCAGAGCGCATAGCACGGGTAGATGAACTCGCAATGACTTTCGCATCAGCACTCGCTCGAGAATGAGCCCTATGAGGAGGAGAACATCTCGCAGCGAAGCGCGTTGAGTCGGCACGGCAAACGATTGTCCATTCTTGCACCCTGAACCTGGGGAGAAACTACGGAATACTGACAGTGGATGCGAGATGAGAAGAGACAGCACAAGAAGGGGCGAGAAGGAGATGCAGAGGAGGAACAGGGTTGCGCGAGGGAGAGTCTAGGGGCCCGTCTAGTTTTCGTCCTGGGTGAGGGAGCGGAGGAAGCGGTAGAAGTCGATGGGGCTTGCGTCGATGCCGTACGTGTAGACAAAGTGCGAGGCGACGTAGCACGAAAAGACCGAGTGCTTGTAGGCTTCGGGAAGACGGGCGAGGATCTTGTCGAGGCCGGCAGTGTCGATGAGGAGCTTGGGCAGCGCGCGCTCCATGACGGCGCGCCTCATCTGCTGGTCGTCGTAGAGAGTCGACTCCTCCATCTCCGCCTGAAGCTGAACAAGCTTGCGAGACAGGTCGTCCGAGAGACTGTATGGCCCCAAACAAGTCAGCAAGCGCTCCTCGGGTAAGATCGTTGCGGATGCGTGACATACAGCGTGAAGGGGCGACCAGTCTTCTCGTGGGCAGCCCAGATCGTCTCGAACTCGGCAGTGGCGTTCTTGAAGACTGCGGCGGCCGCTGGAGTCAGTACACATCGATGCGTGAGTGGAAGGGAGCGCATGAGCTTACTGGTCTCTTGGATCGAGCGCGCGTACTGCTGGTAGAACTCGGGAAGGCGGTCTTTGCCAGCCGAGGTCATGAGGTCGATGAACTGGGCATCATCGAGCGCCATGCCGGAGAGAACCTCGAGACTCGACGACGTGACACCGCCCTTGTTCGCGCTTGCGTCGCGGAAGAGAACGACTGCGGGGAGAAGAGAACGTGAGCAGGACGAATGAGAGGAGCGGACCGGACTGCGACTTACCGCCCTTCTTCTCGAGCTGGAGACGCGCGCCCTGGGTGATGAACAAGTTGGCACCTGTGCGAGAGCCACTGCGTCAGCTTCACTGCATAGAGGTGAGGAGAAGAGGACCTCGACTCACCCTCGACGATGTACTTGAAGTTGGTGACGCCGTCGGCATCCCACAGCTTCGAGACGTTGTTGACGTTGACCGACTCGGGGCGACCACCGCACGGGACGAGAATGTCAGCCTTGTAGTGAAGGTGGGCGGTGTTGCGGAAGTCGGTTCCGTCCGCGACGACATCGCCATCTGCCAAAGTCGCGCATCGTCAGCAAGGGAAGTGACAGATGCGAGTCGAGGGACGCACTGGGAAGGGTGACGTCGCGGTCGTCGACGAGGATGAGGTAGCCGTCCTTGCTGAGCTTCGAGCGGTCAAAGTTGACGACCATCTTGCGAGCCTTGGCGAGGCGGATGAGCTCCTCGCGGTTGATGCCATGCGGGTCGTGCAGCGTGCCAGAGCCGTCGATGACTGCGGGGGTGAGGCGAGTGTCAGCTTTTCAGCGGCGAAGAAGGGAGACGAACGAAGATACGCACTAGTGATGGTCTTGTCCTTCGAAAGCAAGATCTCGTCTGCGCAAACACCGCCGAGTCAGCCAACGCTCCACACTATTTGAAAGGAACGGTCGACGTACTCGATCCAAGATCACCGTCAGGACCGCCAGTCTGGACCTTGGTAATCTCCTCCTCCTTGAGGCCCAGCTTGCGGTAGATGCCGGTCGTGTACCCGCGAACCGAGAGCGACGTCATGCCGTAGATGTCGTGGGGGCTGCGACGCATCACATCGTCAGCACTTGCGCTGCGAGGGAAGAAGCGAGCAAGAGGGGACGCACATGCCACCGTGCGTCGACGCGGGCTTGCCGGTCGACGAAGCCTTCCACCACGGTGCGCCACGGGCGCGAGCGTGGTCGGCGACCCAAGCCATGTAGTTGGCCGTGCCCTCATCGGGACCGAAAAAGAGCTGTGAGCGAACAGATAGCGAATCAGCTAGAGTCGTCGGCGAAACGAACAGGGGAGTCGCACGATCTCCTCCTTGCCGTAGAGGTCGATGATCTTGTCCTTGACGCCCGGAGTGCGTCCGGGAAGGAGCAAGTCGAAGATCGAGTCGACAAACTTGCAGAAGCAAGTTTGGGGGTTGGCGCCGAGGTCGGGAAGGATAGCGCCCTTCGAGCCGCCTTCGGGGATGTCCTTGTTCTACAAGACATGCGGAGAGGGTCAGCACGAGCGAGAAGCGATTGTTGAAGTCGCAACGAACCTTGAGCGCCTGGGTCGAAGCGAGACCGTAGACCTCGTCGAAGAGACTGCGCTGGTTGACCGAGTACGCCTCGCGGTTGCGCGACATGCTGCGATACAGGTCACGTCAGCGACGGCCAGTAAGTAAGGAGCACTCGTACGCACATCATGCGGAGACCGCCACGAGCGACGTCCTTGAAGCGAAGGTGGAAGCCGCGGAACCCATCGCCGACCACAAGGAACAACCCGTACGCGCGTACGGGGTACTCGGACTCGGGCAAGAAGTCGGGGTCGAGGCGGAACGAGAGGGCGACCTTGGTGCTGGTGAAGAAGTTGGTCTTGAGGATCGCGTTGTTGAAGGTGACGAGGCTCTCGAGGATCTGGGCATCGTGCTTGTTGAGGACGTTCTTGCGGATGTGAGCCTTGAGTTGGTCCGAGGTGAGGACTTCGGCGGTCTGGAGGCGGGCATACGAGAGCGTCGGGACGAGGTTGTTGCCGTAGTTCGAGTAGTAGTGCGTGTAGGCGAAGCTGATGTACGCGAGACGAATCACGTCCGGGTACTGCTGCAGGCACTCGAGGATACTGGCGCGCGTGAAGGTTTCCTGACGGAAGCGCGCACGGATGTCGGAGAGGACGCCGGCCTGAACCGAGTCGTTCTCGTCGAGGATGTTCTTGAGCGCAGCGTAAGAGGGACCGAGGCGGTTCAAGAAGTGCTGCGCGAAGACCCAGGCGGAGTAGGCGTAGGTAGACTCCTGGACCGACAGCTGCGAACCGGTGAAGAGCGGGTTGTTGGGAAGAACGTCTGCAAACGACCGAGTCAGCTCATCTTCCTGCCGCCTACCGCAGCTCACGCACAGATGAGAGACGACTCCTTGATGATCTGGAGGATGTTGCCCTCGTTGGGGATGCCCTGAAGAGGGTGGAGGTAGAGCGAGATGATGGTGACGCCGTTGCGGAGATTCTCTGCGGTCACGCGGCGAAGTCAGCGCAAAGCAGGAGCAGTGAACGAGGGGGACGTAACGCACCAACGTATTTGCGGGTCGAGTAGAACCCGTACGAATGGTAGAGGTCGGACAAGGCGGAGAAGAAGCTGCGGGTGCCGCCCTGCTTGTACGCGAGGACGATCCTGCGCTCGCGGCTGTTCTCGACGTCGTACGCCGCGACAACGGGGCCCATCCTGCGCAGCGCCTCGTCCATCAACTCCTGGTAAATCTCGAGCGTGTTGTCGGTCGCCTTCTCGAGGAAAGTCTTGTCTCCGACCTCGCGAATGTTGACGCCGGGCTTGACGAGTTCCTGCTCGTCGAGCTTGGTGTCGACAAAGTCGCACTTGGAGACAAAGTACGAGCGGAGCTGGGCGGCGACGCTCTCGATGGGCGCGTGGCCGTTCGCGTCGTCGCCGTTGGTCGTCACGGGAGGGACGGCGCGGTACGACTCGAGGCGCCATGCGTCCGTCGGGTTCGAGTTGTCGAGGTATTGGCTGTCGATGCGCTGCTCGTACTGAGGGCCGTTGGCAAGCGAGACGCCTGGCGGAGAGGTGAAGATGTAGACGGCCGAGCTCTGCGCAACAAGACAAGAACGGCGCTCGTCAGTTCCAAGCGTCTCGTCGTGATGTATGGCGAGGAGTTTGGAGCAAAAAGGGAGGAAGCGGGAACGCGAGGGAATAAAAGCGTACGTCGCCCTCCTTCTCGAGCTTGATCTCGAGGTAATCTTGGTGGCTCGCGTGCGCCTGCACCTTGGCGCCATACAGACTCTGCACGCACAAATCTCGTCAGCTTCCGGAGGGAGATTGAGCGGAGAAGGAACGGAAGCGCACCTCGACATGGTCTGCGACTTCTTGCGGGCTGGTGAGGGAGAAGTACCCGTCGTCGATTCCGAGCTGGCTGTAGAACCAGTCGACTCTGTGGACCGTGCGAGATTCGCGGTGAGTACAGGAGTAACGTGACCCAACCTCTCCCGACGTGAGCCGAGGAGGGGAAGGAGGAGGGACGCACTCTGGCTGGACGAGGAGCTCAGGGAGGAATCCGTTCGAGGCGACAATCTGTGTGCGAGCTGTGTGAGCATCGAAAACTCCGCGGTGAGGGGCGGATCTCGCGCCATGGCCGAGGACGGGAGGAAGAGGAGGTTGTTTTGGCTCACGTCGACGACGGCCTCCTTGTGCTTGTCCTTGCCTGCGAATGAGGCTTTCCGGTACCCGAGGTCGTTGTGCTTGATGGTCCCGTGTGCTGCAGAGTCGTCCCCAAGTCAGTGAGCGTGCGAGTGAGGCTGTGTTGGAGAGTGAGGACTGACCGGGTGAGGGAGTCCTGGGGACGTCGAGGCGGTCCTTGAGGTGTTCGAGTGGGGAGGGCGGGCTGAGCATGGCTGATGGCATGGCTGTAACTTAGTTGTTTGTAGGGAGAGAGAGAAGGAAGCGAGCGAACGACGAGGAAACCCCGCGTGCACGCATCCCGGGCCCGCAGCCAATCCCGCCCTCTGCCACCGTTCGCCGACCCTCGACCACTCTCGCTCAGTTCGCGTGACCTGGCCCGCCCCCTAACCAGCCAGACTCCTCTCCCTGATCTCGCAGCCCGACAATGCACACCAGCCAGCTCCCTGCCCGCTGCTCGCCCCCCCCAGCCCCCGCCGAAAAAAAGTTGAGCGGAGCGACGACCGGCGGGATGCCTCTCTCGCCCGCTCGTGGCATCCCGGTCGAGGTCACGTTTCCGCTTCGACACAGCACGCACTCGTCGCGCAAAGTCCCGGGATCACTCAGACTGGGCTCGCGAGCTTTTCTCTCCCTTGCTCACGCACCGCTCTTCCGCTGCTTTCCACTCGGTCCCGCTTGCTTGTCCCGCTCGCCAAGCGCAACCCAACTCGATTCGATCCCGCTTCGACGTCCTCAAACTTGAACTGCTCAAGCTTGTTCCAACGCGCATTCCGTCTTATTCCTCCCCGTCTACTTCGGCAACTGAGCGATACCCTCAATCTCGAACAGCACGCCGAGGGGGAGCTTGGCGACCTGTATCGGACAGCCACAAGTCAGTCGGGATTGACGAGGAGGGAAGAGAGGCAGGGTGTGACGCACCTCGACGCATGAGCGGGCAGGCTTGTGCTCGCCAAAGATCCGAGAGTAGATGGCGTTGACCTGTCGAGCGTGCAACGCGAACGTCAGCGACCGGTCTGGGGTGCGAGAGAGGACGTCGGGGCGAGAGACTGCGAGCGCATCGAGTGCCCTGCGCTCTGCCTCTGCTCCTCAACACGCGAATCGACATCGAGCGCAAACGCACCTTCGCAAAGTCCCCAAGCGACTGAAGGAACACCGTAGTCTTGACGACATCGGTCAACTTGCATCCCGAAGCCTCGACGACGGCCTGGAAGTTCTTGAACGCTTGTTCCTGTGCGCGGTATGCGTGGGCTCGTCAGCGCGGGTTCTTAAGGGTATTTGGATGTGCGCGGAGAGCGTGCTAGAGCGTTCTCCCACAGACGTGGGTTGCCAAATGCCGTTTCCTCCTCCTCTTCAAGCCGACCCAGCCGCGGCTTCCTCCCTCTCTGCGCCGCGTCGATGAAAGGAAGCAGTTGACGCACAGTCTGTTCCTCAATCCCACCCTCAACAACCTTCATCGTCTCCGGCACAAGCGGCACACATCCCGAGACGAAGACAAGCGAGTCGGTCTTGATCGCCTGCCTGCACGTCCCACTTCCTCGTCAGCTTTCCTCTCGGCGCGGATAGAGAGAGAGCGGGAACGCACGAGTAAGGACCCACGGCGGAGGGAGCGTTCGAGGTAGAGACGACTTCGAAAGGCATCTTGCTTTTGGGGGACTGCGAGGGAGAGAAAGCGAGGGGAGCGGAGGTGGAGAGGTGGTGAGCTAGTTGTCGAGCGCGGTCGACTGGGGGCATTGAGCGCGACGAGCGGGCGACGCGGAGAGGGGAAGAGCAGAGGATCTGATGAGGATGGGCGAGCGGGAGGAGGGAAAGGCAGAGCGTGAGCGAGGGTGCGCCGCTGGAATGAGGAAGCAGGGCGGACCAGACGGCGCAACATACACTGACTTGAGAGAGGACGGGAAGAGAGCGTGATGGGGGAGAAGGAGGGGGAGCGGTTCGCCGTCGGAAAACGAGGCGGGGATAAGGCGAATTTCTGTCACTCTCCTCAAAGGCACGGATAGACATGCTCTTAATGCAGCAGATGTCGAGATAAACATGACATGACCGCCTGCAGACGAAAATCTATAGTTCCGAGGGTCCGCTGCTCGACCACTCGCCCGCGAAACTCGGCGCGAACGGCAGCGTCAACGTCGAGTCCATGCCCGTGATGCTCGAGTCGATCTTGAGCGGGTCGCCAGGCGGCAGGCTCGAGTACATCGACAGCGGGCTTGCGATGTCGGTTAGGTCGAGCGACTGGAGCGGTGTCGAGAGGGCGAGCGGCGGGATAAAGAGCGACGAGCACGCTTCATTGAAGAGGGAGTGGTAGTCACTTGTTGGAAGTGCTGGAGGGTAGGGGACGGGAGGGTAGGTCGACGGCAGGTCGTTGCACCATTCGTCGCAGGGTGAGCGAGGCGACGGCCACGAAGACAAGTCCGTCTCGCTGATGGTAAACGACGGAGACGGCGGATTAGTCAACAAGCCTGATTGGGAGGAGATGGAGCCGGATCGTAGCGCTGTCGAAATGGTGAAGTAGTCGGCGGGTGAAGGGGCGGGTGCGAAGATGGATTGCGGAGTCGCGAAAGTCGGCAACGGCGACTCGCTTTTGACGACGGTGTCTGCAGGCTGATCGTAGGATGGCAGAGGCGGTAGTGTCGGTAAGGGCGGAAGCAGAGAAGGTAGGCTGGTCAAGGTAGGCGAGGCGGAGAGGGTGTCCTCGCTCAGGTCTGTCCGAGGAAAGCGTCAGTCCGCATGTCGCAGCACCTTCCAAAGGCAAGTAGTACGCACCAGGTTCTGTCTTGACGACAGGCTGAACCGCGGGTCGTGCCGCCTCCTTCGGCTCGACCTTCTCCCCAGCCGCGGGCATATCCTCATCCTCCTCCTTCATCGGCACGGTTCCCGCTAGTCGTCGTTTCGCCTCCTCCTCCTTGCGTCGCTGGAGGTAGAGGTCCGCGCGGTAGACGCATTGCAGCTCGCCCGTCTTGAATTTCGACGTCTTCCGGCAGGACGAGCAGGCTGGTCGAGCGCTATCGCAGCGAACGCGCCGCGCCTTGCCTACAGACGACCCAGTCAGCAGAAGCATACCACGGCAGAGACGAAACGTACAAGCTAGACAGGCGAGTCCCTTTTGCAGCGGACGACCTGTTCCGCCTCCGAATCTCGCCAACTGCGCCTCGCTCGACGAGCCAGCCAAACCGCTTGCCGATGCCCTCGCCGCGCAGTTCCGTGTCGAGAAGTCTGCCGACGAGCTCGAGCTGGCTGAGGCTGAACCTGCGATAGATCCGTCCGAAAGCCCGCCCATGCCATCATCAGCGTGGATCTGGCGAGGACGGGGCGCGATAGGCGAGCGGCGGGTCGCGATGGCGCTGATGGTGGAGTAGGAGGGCGGAAAAGCAGGAAAGCGAACGCACCGCTGGCTTCTGCCGGCGCAACACCCGACGCATACTCGCACCGCTCTGGAGGGGGGAGACCCTCCCACGCCGCCCTCCTGAGGCACGCCGTGCACACCTTGAGTCCGTCGCAGCGTACCCTGCGCTTCTGGCCTGTCGGAGGTGCATACGAAGGCGGTCAGCGTGAGGTTGAGTCGTCTTCGGAAGCGGCGGTCCGCTGGGGGGTCAAGGAGAGCGGGAGACGCACAGGTTCGACAGGCCGGCTGCCTGCCTGAGGATGACCGCGCTTTTTGTCCGACAGAATCCATACCAAGCGTAGCAAAGGAGAAGGAGCGGGACGAGGAGGAAGGAGGAGAGAAGCTGCCCAAGAAGTGGGTGTCGATCACGCTCTGTTCCGAGAGGGGCAGCCTCGCAAGAGACAGTCAGCCGAGCCTCGCACTTGTTGCCAAACCCGCAAGGCTTTCGAGCGCGCTGTCGTGGAACAGGCTCTCCTCTCGGCTGGCGAGCCGTTGTCTCTCCTCGTCGATTAAAGCAACTCGCTTCCGTAATGGTCCACCAACGCCCGCTGCTCCAGCTAAGCCCAGGTCGGTGCTATCAGCGTGAACTCAGCAGGAAGATAAGCGAGTAAGTGAGCAGGAAAGCGAGGAGAGGGTCGCTCGATAAGCCAGTCCGGTGCGGACCCCGTCGCCGTATCAACGTCCAGCAGCACAATCGCGACAGACGAGCGGTGTCCGCCAGCGTAAGGCGACGATATCGTCGAGGCGGACTCTGGAAGCAGCCAGGAGAGCCGTCGCTCCGACTCGGAGGCGACTTGCTGCCTGTCTTGCGACTGGCCGCAGGGTGAGGCGGCATCTCCGGGCGCGAGAGGGTGCAGCACGACGGCATCACATCGATAGAGCCTGAGCTTCATTGGTACCTAGACGTCTCCCGGACCCGTGTTGGCCCGAGGATGGGCGGCGAGGCGGACGTTGCGAGGCGAGGAAGGGAGAGAGGAAACGGCGCTCATGTGCCGGGCCGTGAAATTGCGCGTCCGTCGATGAGCACGTGGTAGGCAGCTTAGGGAAGCGACGCGAGTCCCGCACACGGCGTTTGCAGCGCGGGAGGCGGCGAGGGCGGAAGGAGAAGTTGAGCCCAGAGAAGCAGCTTTGGCGCCCTGCGCCCCAGACGACCGAATGTGCCGTCGTTCCTCGTGTGTCTCCCCACGGCCAGCTCGCGTCCACCAGTGAAGCTGTCGAGCGAACGGGAGGGAGGAGTCCTGAGCGAGGGGGGCGAGCAGGAGGAGGAGGACAGCTCGCGGGATGGCGCAAGCAGGTGCGTCCGCTGTCGCATGAATCTCAAGGCGGGTCTCGTAGCCTGCACGACTCCTTCTGAGCGTGCGAGTGAGCGGTGAGAGGGCAAGGGAGAGGTCGTTCGGTCTGCTGTTGGCACCGTCACCTTCGTCCTGTCCCCTCCGCTTCACTACAACAGACGCGCACAGGCTGTGAGCTGACGTGATCTACAACGCGCATACACGGCACCCGCTTGTCGACCGGCCGCCCGAGGGAGGTGGACCCGCTTCACGCGGCCCTGTCCTCGCGGGTGGATAGGGGCGCACACGGTGCTCGCGGCGGATCAGGGCCCGGCTGACAGCGTTTCACGTCCCGCTACAGCCTCGTCCAGCACATTCACGGCTGTCCCGATTCCCTGAGGCCGCTCCATCGTCCCCTCGACCCTCCACCAACCCACGCAGCACCGCCTTCGTCCCGCCCTCCCCAAACCCTCAAGAGCCATGTCCGAGATCAGGCGCAAGCTCGTCATTGTCGGAGACGGTGCCTGCGGAAAGACCTGCCTCCTCATCGTCTTCTCAAAGGGCACCTTCCCCGAGGTGAGCACCCATTCCTTCGCGCGAGGAGCCTGCTCGCACGACGCGTCCGCCGTACCGTGCTCGGCTCGTGAGGCGGATTGATCGACCTGGATGGGGCAGGCTGGACCGTCTACGGGATTTTGCGGCCTTGCAACACGCGCGCAGACAGGTTCGGATCTTCACGGCGGATCCGCGTTGCGGTAGGGGCGAGAGTGTCGCCATCGCAGCACGAGAGTACAACACACGGTGGAGTGAGCACGACGACTGACGATTCTTGAACTCGCAGGTCTACGTCCCCACCGTTTTCGAGAACTAGTGCGTTCTCGCTTACCTGCCTCTCGAGCCGGCATTCTCGCTGACCGACACTCTCGCCCTGCAGCGTTGCGGATGTCGTCGTCGATGGCAAGCGGGTCGAGTTGGCGCTGTGGGATACTGCTGGCCAGGAAGACTACGACCGCCTTCGCCCCTTGTCGTACCCCGACTCGCACGTCATCCTCATCTGCTTCGCCGTCGACTCGCCCGACTCGCTCGACAACGTCCAGGAAAAGTGGATCTCCGAGGTCCTCCACTTCTGCTCGGGCCTCCCCATCATCCTCGTCGGCTGCAAGAAGGACCTCAGGAACGACCCGAAGACGATTGACGAGTTGAGGAGGACCGGCCAGCGACCCGTGACGCCCCAGGAGGTGCGCGTCTGCGATCTCTCCGTTCTCGGACGCATCTGACTAACCTTTGGCGCGGTCGCAGGGCGAGATGGTTCGCCAGAAGATTGGCGCGACCCGGTACCTCGAGTGCTCGGCCCGGACTGGCGAGGGCGTCCGCGAGGTGTTTGAGACGGCGACGCGCCTCGCCCTCCTCTCGTCCAAGGGCCGCAAGAAGAGCGGCAAGTGCAGCATCCTCTAAGCGACGCCCCCCACCGCCTCGACTCTCGACTCCTCATCGCATGCCCTCCCTTCCGCGCAGTCGACCTATTTCCCGCCTGTTTCACTCACCTAGCGTCAGCACTCTCCGTAACTTCCATTCCCTCCACCCTTTTCCGCCTGGGCGAGCCACCGTGTTCCTCCTCACCCTCCACCCCTCCTTCGCCCTCTTCCCCTTTCTCCCCGCGACCAGCTAGTACTGCCGCGGCTCTCTTCTCTCACTTTCTACGTTTTGACGACTTGTCTGGCTGTACTCTAAGCTTTCCTTGCACCTGCGTGATGGGCGAGAGGCGCGAGAGTGGCCTGCCTTGACTAGCTCCCGCTCGTTGCGCTCTTTGCTAGGTGCACTAATGTCCACCGAGGGAGCCAGAGCCTCAAGAAGCACACATGGCCATGCTTGAGCGAGTCGACAACTGCCCCTTCTCCTTGTGGCGCCTCTGGCCCGCTCCCCTTCCATCCCCTCCGCTCAGCTCGTCGTTGGACCTGTCTAGGAGTCTCGACAGCTCAGACGAAGGTAGCGACTGCTCGACTGGTCGCGCTCGTCTCTCCTTCGCCCTCCCCCTTCTCATCGCTCCATCCCTTTCCCCGACAGCAAACCTCCATACCCGCGCCTCAGACGGCCTTGCGATTGCTTCTGGCTCCTCCAGCAATTCTGCAAGACCGACCCATCTCGTCACTCACGCTCACCGACCCCTCCTAGCGCCTGACGCCCACCCGGCACCTCGCCCCTCCTCTCTGACTTCGACTCCAGCACAATGGCCGACATCTTCGGCTTGCGCGGCGAGCGCTACGCCTTCCTTCGCCTCGCCCCTCCACCCTCGTACGTCGCAGGAGCAGGTCGTGGTGCGCAGGGATTCACGACTCGGAGCGATATCGGTCCGGCGCGAGAACAGGTCCAAGAGGACGAAGGACCGAAGGAGGAGGAGTACAATCCGGATCAGTTCCAGGATCCGGAGAACGAGACGGGATTGTTTGCTGGTGAGTCGGCGTGATCGCTTCGAGACGTCTGCGTTTCCACATCCGCCCGTCCCGCTTCGAACATCAGCTGACGCTGCTCTTCCATAGGCACTGTCTACGAGGCGGACGATGAAGAGGCGGACCGGATCTACGAGGCGGTCGACGCGAAGATTGATGAACGGCGGCGGGCTCGTCGTGAACAGCGGGAACGAGAAGAGGCGGAGCAGCTCCTCAAGGACCGACCCACGATTCAGAGCCAGTTTGCGGATCTGAAGCGTGGATTGGCGGACATGTCGGAGGACGACTGGTACAACCTTCGTGCGTTTCGCCTCGCTTCCTCCGCTGGAGAACCCGCTTGACGCTCTCCTGATGTGCAGCCGAGGTCAGCAACATGATTGGAAACCGCGTCAAGAAGCCTCGACTGGAAGGGCGGAGCTACGTCGTGCCGGACAGCGTCATCGTTGGGAACCGCGACAAGGGCGCACTGGAGAGCGCATTGGCGGAAGAGCAGATGGTGCGTCCCGCTCGACAGCCGTACGGCTTGCAGAGCTGACTGTCGCCTCGCGAGCAGAAGGATGGGTTCCAGACGCCCGCCGATGCCCTCACCGACTTTGCCGAGATCGGTCAAGCGCGTGAGAAGATGCTGTCCATCAAGCTCGAGCAGGCGGGAACGGATTCGGCGCTCGGCTCGACCAATATCGACCCGAAGGGCTACCTCACCGGCCTCGACAGCCAACTGCTCAAGACATCGTCCGAGATTGGGTGCGTCAGCCCTTCTCTCGTTTCAACGAGCTTCGCCCGGCTGATTTCCTTCATTCCGCAGCGACATCAAGCGTGCTCGAGCTCTCCTGCAGTCCCTCACCAAGACGAACCCGAAGCATGCGCCCGGCTGGGTTGCGGCAGCATGGCTCGAGAACGTCGCTGGGAAGCAGGTGGCGGCGCGCAAGATCATCGCCGAAGGTTGCGAGCAGTGTCCGAAGAACGAAGATGTTTGGCTGTGCGCGAGCGAGCTGAATGTGCGTGCCCGCCCTTCCGACCTACCCGACTGAATGCTGATGGCGAGTCGCTTGCACAGACGAACGAGAACGCCAAGATCATCCTGGCCAACGCAGTGCAGGAGCTGCCGCAGTCGGTACGGATTTGGATGCGAGCCGTCGAGCTCGAGCACGACGTCAAGGCGAAGAAGCGCGTCTTGCGCAAGGGTGCGCCCGCTGCTAAGCCTCACGTTTGGGCATCTGCTGATCTAGGGTCGGCGCAGCTCTCGAATACATTCCGGCAAGTGTCAAGCTGTGGAAGGAGACCGTTGAACTCGAAGAGAACCCGGACGACGCCCGTATCCTGCTCGCACGCGCCGTCGAGGTCATCCCGCACTCGCAGGAGCTGTGGCTCGCCCTCGCCCGCCTCGAGACGCCGGAGCGTGCACGAGCCGTCCTCAACAAGGCTCGCAAGGCCATCCCGACGTCGCACGAGATCTGGATCGCCGCTGGTCGGCTGCAGGAGCAGGAGGGCAACGTCGCTCAGGTCGATGCGATCATTGCCACCGGCGTTGCCTCTCTCAAGAAGAACCAAGCCGAGCTCTCGCGCGAACAGTGGCTTGCCGAGGCCGAGCGCGCTGAGCAGCAAGGCAGTACCGTCACCGCGCAAGCGATCGTCAAGGCAACAATTCACCTCGACGTCGACGAGGAGGACCGACAGGCCGTCTGGATGGACGACGCCGAGACGATGACCAACAAGGGCATGATTGCGACTGCGCGGGCGATCTATGCGTACGCGCTCAACGTCTTCCCGCAGAAGCAGTCGATCTGGCGGAAGGCTGCCGACCTCGAGAAGCATCACGGCGAACGGTACATTCCATCGGCCTCGCTCCCGCTCTTCGCGTGTCAAGCTGACTCTTACGACTTGCAGGGAAACCCTGCTCGCCCTGCTCAATCGCGCCGTCGAGTCTGTCCCGCAAGCCGAGGTGCTCTGGCTTATGGCCGCGAAGGAGTCATGGCTCTCGGGCGATGTCGACGGCGCACGACAGATTCTCAGTCGGGCGTTCGAGGCGAACCCGGACAGCGAAGGCATCTGGCTGGCGGCGGTCAAGCTCGAGGCGGAGAATGGCCAGATCGAGGCCGCGAAGCAGCTCATGCAGCGCGCCAGGGAAGTTTCCGGTACGCAAAGGGTGCGTCGCCGTCAGTCTCGTCGTCTTCGCCCTTCAGCCCTGACGCCTCTACTCCGCAGATCTGGGTCAAGTCGGCGGTGTTCGAACGGACGCACAGCGACAATACGGCTGCGCTGCAGATGGTCAAGGACGGCTTGAAGGTTTACCCTGCCAGCGCCAAGCTGCACATGATGCAGGCCCAACTGCTGCAGGCGCAGACGCCGCCCAATCTCGCGGCCGCCCGAGAAGCGCTCGCTGCCGGCGTTCGCAAGTGTCCGACTTCGGTGCCGCTCTGGATCATGGCTTCGCGACTGGAAGAGCAGGCCGGCGTGCGGATCAAGGCGCGTGCTCTACTCGAGAAGGCGCGCAACGTCAACCCGAAGAGCGACGAGCTTTGGCTCGAGAGCGTCAAGGTCGAGGAGCGGGACGGTTCCGGCGCGGCCAAGGCGATGCTTGCGCGAGGTGCGTTGACTTGTATGTTCGGTCTAGCGCACACTGAGCTGACAACCACCGCCGCAGCCCTCCAAACCTTGCCAGCTTCCGGCTTGCTGCACTCGTACTCGGTCTGGCAAGAACCCCGCCCGACTCGCAAGACGCGGTCCGTCGACGCGCTCAAGAAGACGAACAACGCCCCCGCCGTCATCGTCACTGTCGCTCGGCTATTCTGGGGCGAACGGAAAGTCGAGAAGGCGCGGGACTGGTTTGGCAGGGCTGTCGCGGCGGACGGAGACTATGGCGACGCATGGGCGTGGTGGTGGAAGTTTGAGAAGCAGCACGGAACCGATGTGCGTTACGGTTCCCTTCCCTGTCGCCGTTCTTCTGCTGATGCGGCTCACGCCTCGCAGGAACACCGCCAGTTGGTGCTGGAGAAGTGCATTGCGGCGGATCCGCATCACGGTCACGTCTGGCCTGCGATCGCCAAGGATCCGAAGAACGTTGGCAAGGACATCAAGGCGGTTCTCGACCTCACCGCAGACGCTCTCGAGGGGTAGATGTGCAAGGACCTCTTTGTGACTTCATTGTCTGTTGCTGCGATGGTTGCGAGGGGAACAAGAACGAGAGACGACGACGGATGTTGGGAAGGAAGGAGTGGAAGAGGGCATAGATAGAACGAGCGAACGAGGGAGAGCTACGAATTGGTCGCGAGGTCGGAAGGCGGAAGGCGAGCAAGCATGGCTTCGTACAAGGGTCGGTATACGGAGATGTTGAACGAGGCCACCTTTGCGATCCGACCGGCGAGTAGGCGGACCTCGCCTGACAAGGCGGTCAGGCCGTTGCGCTGCAAGGCGGCCTCGAAAGGAGACGATTTCGCCGAGAGTGACAACTCCGTCCGCTGGCGCTTCTCGGCGACGACGTGCTCGAGCGACGGGGTGGATTCGACGTCCTGGTCGCGGTCGCCCAGAGAACGCTTGCGGCCTCGAACGGGCGACGAAGCGGCCATGAGGTTGGCATCCGGTCGTGCACCGGTCTTGTGGCTAGCGATGACGCTGCCTCGACGAACCGAGCCAGTCGTCATCGTCGCAGGCTCCTTCGACGGCTGCCACCAGCCGGTGAAGGCGAGAGGACCGCGCTCCGTCTCCTTCGCCAACTCCTCCTCGACCGCCAACTCGATCGTCTCTCGCAGCCGCTTCTGAAGGAGCTGGAAGAGCTTTCCGTCGGCCTTGACGTTGGTCTCGAAGTAGCTGGTGACAAGCTTGAGAGTGTCGGCGTTGGGGAGAGGCGCGGGCGAGACTGGCTGGGCGTCGACATTGTTGACCTGCTTGGCGCGTGCTGCAAGCTGGAGAAGGACGTCCTGCATCCCTTGCCTCCAGGCGCTCGACGAGAGCTTTGAGATGCCGTGTCCAGGCGGTCCTTGAGGGATCCCGAGGATGGATGCAGCTGGACCGACGAGCGACGATGGCGAGCCGGTACTCGTCGTCATGACGATCCACAACTCCTTGCAGAGTCGCTCCATGTCTTCGGTCGACGGGCGTGCGGGAACGGCGAGTTGCTGGAAGAGCATGGCGAGGAGGTATATGACGGTCAAGTCGGTCGAGTCCGCGTGGAAGGCCTTGAGACGGTACGAGTCGAGCATGAGTGTCTCGGGAAGCGAGGCGAGGGACGAGGGCGGCGGAGAGGACGTGTCGAGGGCAGGGTAGATCAGGTCGAGAAGGCCATGCGCGACGACCTTGTCCACATCGCCAACTCCGAGTTTCCGTGGCGCAGCACCCTTCGCAGACAAACGTGTGGCAGACGATTCGAGCCAGGCGCTGACTCGCTCGAAGACCTTGAGCGGGCGACGACGGCGGGCGGCACTGGACTGGAAGAATCGTCGTTCGAAGTCGAGGGCGGTCGAGACGAGGTAGGGTCGCAGCGAGCGAAGCTGGTGGTTGGCAATGTCCTGCGGAGTAGAGAAGCTTAACGCGGGGAAGTACGCTCAAGCGAGTGACCTGACTTACCAGCTTCATGAGCTCGAGGATCTCGAAGCAAAGCCTCAATCCCTTGACGATCCCCTCGCCCTCGCACGTCACCTTGACCATCGCATCTACGAGTTCGTCTCGCATCGGCGCACAGTGCATCTTGAGCGTTGAACCGAGGAAGCGAGCCAGCGCTGCGATGTCGGCGACGCCGTGCGCGATCTGCTGAGTGAGGTGAACGGGGTCGAGCACCTCGGCGACGGCTTCGCGAGCGTTGTGCGTGGGTGCGGAAGACGGAGCTGCGGAGAGGGAGGACGTGTCGAAGGTGGCTGCGGAAGACGGAGTGGGCGAGTTCGGCGTCGGCGAACCGGGGAGGAGAGTCGAGATGATGGCGCGCAGCTCCACGATGAGCTGGAAAATGCGACTGGGCAGGCGAGACGAGAGGTGGACGGGGTGGGTCTCATCGCCGAAGCACGAGCAGATGCAGGGAAGTAGGGAGTTGTTGCGAAAGGCCGCACAACGGCAGCCAATCGAGACTTCGCGCGCAACTGCAACCCAGTATTGTTCGGTCGTAAGCCGTTTCCGCTCGCCCCTGCGGAACACGAGGCGGATGTCAGTTTCGACGTAGTGAAGATGTGAAAGCGAGGTACGCGCACCTCTCGCCATCGTAGTTCGGGCGAAACATGAGGTTTGGGTCAAAGACGACGTCGTGCCGCAGCTGCGGGTTGCGCATGATCTCGCTAAGGTCGAGTTCCTGCAAGGTGTCCTTCGTGATCGGCGGAGCGAGCGAGGCAGTCGTGATCCCCGCCGTCGTGAGGACTCCTTCCGCCTTCGAGATCACGAACGCGTGAAGCGCGACGAGCTCCTCTTGCGAGAAGAGCTTCGGTGGAGCGGACGCTTGGTTCGGAGGGGTGGGAGGAAAGGGCAAAGGTGCCGCAACCGAGGCAGGCGACGAACCGCTCGTCGGGCGTGGGCTAGTCGAAAGTTTTCGTCGTTGTATCGAGTAGCATGTGGGGCTGAGGAGTGCAGGGTGGACAGGACAAAGAGACGCAGGCAGCGATTTCGCTCGTCGCCGTTGTGGCGACCGTGCTGCCGGCGGCGCGGAGGTGAAGGGCGTCCGAAGCGACGGCGGAGACGAAGAAGCCGCGGAGAAAGGAAGCTGGGGAATGTCGGCGGAGGGAGGCGGGAGACGAGGCGAAGCGGGAGGAGGCAAGAGAGTGGACGTTTGCGCGACATCGACAGACTGCGCAAGCGCGGTGGGAAAGACGCCGAGATGTGAGGAAGGCAGATTTGTCGTAGTCGTCGTCGGAGAGGGCAGGCAGGAGTGATAGGCGGGGTCGATGCGGATGGGCGCGGGGCGACTTCTTCGAGTCGGCGTCCGCTCCCTTTCGCCTCCTTCGCAGAGTTGCAGCCCTTCAAGCCGTCTCCGCTTCTCCACATGCTCGTTCGTAACCTCACCTGCCGTCGTTTCGACGCCCTCGTCGCTTACACTCCGTGTCATCCATCCTCCTCGCCGCTCGTCGACTCTCGCCCTGTCTGCCAATCGTCTCGCCAATTCACCCCGACTGCGCCTGCCTCCTTCGCTCAGTCCCCGTGGCCGCGCGTCGTCATCGCTCAGCACGCTCCCACTCGCCTCAATTCCATCTGGTCCACACTCGAAGCCCGCCTGGCTCGTCTCGTCCGCCGTTCGCGTCCGTTTGCGGTGAGTTTGGCGCGGCTCAGAGGCGGGGTCTGTCGCTGTCGTGTTGTTGCCGAGAGACGCAGGCGGCCCGCTCGGGGAGGCAGAGGCGCCAGCTTCCTGCGAAGAAGCGTTCCCGGACGAGGGCAGCGAGAGCTGTGGCGGGTACGGCGACTCCATGCGAGGCTGTCAGAGCGAGCACTGCGACGCTGCTGTGCTGGCAAGTGTGTGTACGAGAGCAGGGAGGCTGGAGGGAGGGAAAGAGCCGAGCGTCGAGAGGAGGGAGGGGGTTCGCGCGGGACGTCCTCCTGGCGTCGACCTGTCCGAGGGGTGCGACCGGCCTTGTGAGTCTCGCTGGCGGTCTTGCGGCGACAAAGGGCGACGTACGAAAGGGCGCGATGCCTTTGCGCGCGTATGAGACGCCTGTCTTCTCCTGGGATTCCTGTCGCGACTGAGAAGGCGAAGGGGCGCGTGCACGGGGCGACGCCAACGGGCGGAGAGGTGGTAGCAGAGGGTGCACAGCGACAGACAGACAGAGCAGGAAGAGGAGCAGGCAGCAGCCAGAGCGAGCGAGGCAGGTTGAGGCGGGCGACACTTTCCTCCGCCGTCGCAACCACTCGAGCAGGTCGACCTTGGTCCGCACGCGTGCTGGTGCGTCCGAGAACAGCGAACGACGCGCTGTTCCTGAGTCCAGCTTCGGCGCCAGGATCTACGCGACCAGTTCTCCAAACCCGGGGGGGGCTGGGAGTCGCTGTCCTCCGTCTTGGGAAGGCCCTCCTTCTCCTCTCGTCCTTCTTCCCCTGGGCTTGCTGACACGGGCAGTCGCATTCGTCGCGCAATGCATCGTGCAAGATGCCCGGCGGCCGTCAGGAGACTGAGAACTCGCTCCATCGCCTCGACGCCCCGACCTTGAGACACCTCTTCCGCCTCATCTCTCGCCGCGACGCTGCTTCGCGTCGTCATTGCTGGTTGACGCGAACCTCCTAGAAGTCGTCGTTCTTCTCGCGAGGCCTGCCTCCCACGACCTTCGCCTGCGACCCGCCTCCTCACCTTCTTCCGTTGCTCGTTCTTCCCGCGCCTCTCAGCTTGGCGCAACGGTAAGCTCAGCCCGTCGATCAGAGCCATCAAGCTACGGTGAGAAAGAACGGGATCGCCCTTAATCGTCTGTCCTCGTCGAAACAGGTCGCGTTCATACCTTGTCTTCGGCCGTTTCTGGCAAGTCCTCGTGTCTTCGTGAACCACCTCTCTTTACCTTCGCGGAGGATGCAGACGCCGTATCGAGTGATCGCCCTTTCGTCAGACGCTGCGCCGTGCTGCTTTCAGGCGTGCTGAAGGGCGAAGAGGCGGCCGGGAGGATGTTGCGATCCTCGAGTCGCAAAGCTGCTGCGACGGTCAAGCTCAGCGCACAGCTCGTGGGACTGCTGTCCACTCACGCGCGTCCCCGAAGGACGCCCAGTCAAAGCGATTTGCGCGCTAAGCCAGAAGGAACGGATATGGGAGCGGTCGAGCGAAGCGACCTCTCGGGCCTCTCCCAAACTTCCCGCGGGTCTGTCGAACCGTCTGGACTGCCTAGCTGGGGCCTTGGCAAGCAGGAAGCAGCTCCCAGCGACGAGTCTTGTCACGAAGTAGCGTGGGAAGGGAAATGATTTCGGCTCGGGTGAGCAAGACATGCGCAAGCGGGTAAACGCTGCAGGTGGCATACAGCCGCCCAGCACTGTCCTTCGTGCGAGCCGTCTCGCAGCGGACAGCATCGCTGCCAGCAGAAGGTCCATGTGAGGAGGAAAGCGAGGTGTGAAGACGCAGGACTGACGGAGCGGAATCAGCTTGGGCGAGCGAGCTGAACCTTCACGGCGGACGCCAAAAGCGTTTCTGCAATCCCTGAGCGACGCAAGAGACCCTCGTCTGACTGCGACACCAGTGTGCATAGGATGCTCAGCGAGATGCGAAGTTGTCCGACCTCCAGCGCACCCTCACGCTCCTCTTGAGCCCTGCGCGACGCCGCGCACGGAACGTCACCCTCCAAGACCACGCTGGACACGCTGGCACGCCTGGCTGAGCCCGGCGTCTCGATAATGGAGCGGGTGGGGAAGTCGAAGTGATGAAGGCGACGGAAGAGCGTGCACGGCGTGCGGCGGCGGGTGATCGGATACCGAGGCATGTGGTTGAGTTCAGCAAGCTATCGGCGGCGCTGGAAGACTCCACTGAGCGAGCGAGCGTTGGTGTCGGCGCGAGAGGCGGCCTCCGACTCGGTGGCCGCGGTGGAGGGGTGGACCTCCTTCACATCCTGCTTCGCATCTAAGGCTCTCCCTCAACTTGCTGGACGGCTAAGCGACGCTGTACAATGACCTCTCACATCCCCATCGCTTTTGACGTCCTCGGAACCTGCTTCTCGCTCGACCCGGCGAAGGAGGCCCTGCGAAGCGTCTTCAAGACGGTGTCGGACGCGCAGGCGGAGAGTGTGATCCAGGACTGGTTCCATTCGGCGCAACGGGACTTCACGTGTACGTACCGATACCCTTTGATCAGACCGCAGACTCGCAACTGACCTTCCTTCTCGCATTCCGCTTTGTTCGTCCTAGACTTGAGCATAAACGGGGCCTACATGTGTGCAACGAGCTCCATTTGCTCAACTGAATTGACAGCTGACTGACCTTCCCGCATAGGCCCATCGGCCAGGTCCTAAAGAGCACCCTCCCTCGCATCCTCCTGATGCACTCGCTCGTCCCCGCCTCGTCCGCCTCGCCCTCGACGACCCTCTCCACCTTCGACTCTTCCTTAACCGACCCCATCATCTCGACTCTCTCGTCAATGCGCCCTCGACCGTCGCTCGCAGCGTGCTCCCACCTGCTCCTCTCGCACGACTTTCGCCTCATGGCCGCGACGAACGGCGCGCTCGAGACGACGCGTGGCCTGTTCGAGAAGGGCCTCGGTAAAGAAGTCGCTGAGCGATGGGAGTACTTCTCGACGGACGAGGCGAAGGTGGCGAAGCCGGACCAGAGCGTCTACCAGAACATCTGGAAGAAGCTGGGTGTCGAGGAGGGCGGCGAGAAAAAGGGCTGGTTCATCGCTGCGCACACCTGGTGCGTCAACGCGTCAACGTCCGCGGAACCCGCATCAACAGCCGTTGCTGACGAGTCCCGCTCAATATCCAGGGACCTTTTCCCGGCGAAGAAAGCTGGGTACGCAGTCCTCCCCTCCGCTACCCGTTTCCCCTTGCTAATTCACCCTCCATCACAGCTTCAAGACCGCATTCGTCACCTACGAGGAGCATCTCGTCCTGCCCGACCTGTTTGGGGAGCCGGACATTGTCGCCAAGGACCTCGAGGACGCCGCGCAGCAAATCATCGAGCGCGAAGGCGGTCAGGCGTAGCCGTAGCAGCGACGTCGCAACACTTCGCCGTAGCTGCCGGCCTGGCTGGCGATGGACAATCAGGATGGCCAGCAGGAGAGAAGCCATAGCGAGGCGTGGGAGCTGGTCGAGTCCGTCCAGGCGTGTTAGAGCAGTCTCCACAAGCTCTCAAGCCGCTGCAGCATCGCCTGCACGCGAGCGAGAGCAGTGGGAGAGATCAGTCTCCTCACGAGCAGATCGCGACGGGTTGTACAGAGCTACGAATCGGCATACTA